GGGGCCGCGCGTCCCTGTCCCGCCCAAGGCGGCCGCGCTCGCTGCAGCCCCGGGCAGCTCCGTGAGCGTGTCTGGGCTGTTCGCTGGAGATTTAACGGGAGAGTGAACTGAACTGTCACGGGAGGGCCCGGCTGGGTTTGCAGGTTCCCCCTGGAGCTCTTCCCCTGCCCGGCGCTTCGCTCCCGTCTCCCCTCAGCAGAACTTCCTAGGCGAGGAGAACCAGTTCGGGTGGGGGCTGGGGCAGCCCTGACACATCTCGGCTTTGGCGGGTTTCCGGCGCCGCCGGGGACTGGGTCTTTGAGTGACTTCTTTCTGTGCCTTTGGATTGCGGGGTTGCTCCCCGTGTCTGCCGAGGGGTGCACGTGCACCTTGGAAATCTGCAAGCGATGCACACACAGCCCCGTGCCATAATGCCTTGTAGATCCCCATCGGTCTGGAACATCCTCAGCTCAGTAAAGTTTCCCAGAGCATTTGCTGTGTCTTGTGGTGCTGTAAGGATTTGACGTTAAACTTGGTCTGAATTACAGCAGCTGTCACAGCGGTGTGCCAGTCAGAGGTTGTATTGGTTGCTAAAGGTTGTATTGTCCCCGAAGTATTGCGGTTCTGGTGCTGAAACCGTGGATGGTGAGGTTGATGTGTAGGCCTGTCCCCGGGGAAAGGTGTTTTCTTGCTGTAGGTTTAAACCCCAACAAGGTAAGGCAGGTTGGAGCGCTATGTTGGGGACTGTCTTTAACTGGTGTTAGAAGAAGACTGTAAGTTCTGCCTTCTCTAAAGTGGTTTAGTTTATGCCCTTTTTCTTTTCTGGTGAAGATACAATGAAATGCTTCTGTTGTTTTGCCTGAAGTTTTCAAAGGGAGTGACAAATAATAAAAATTCATAAGAATAAAGCATCTTTGCCACAAAAAGTTACCAGGCCTGCTGCCTCTAACCAGTTGTGACATGTTCATGCTGTGAGAAAGCTCAGCAGCTGTGGGATGTGTTCAGTTACTGGCAAACCGGCTGTAGCACGTGCAGCATCTCATTGGGGTGTACGTTAAGTGGAGGATAGGGAGTATGGGGAGTGTTGTAGGGTACGGGGTGGAAGGGAGAAGTGAGAGTACGTGTCAGTGAGCAGCAGGAACAGAGGGGTGGTTGCAGAACAAAAATCTATAAGAAATCTAATTACTTTGACTTTGCTGTTGACAAAACAACTGTTTTGTATATGTTGTCCTTTTTTTTTAAGGCTGCAGAACTTCGAGCTTACCTGAAATCCAAAGGAGCAGAGATCTCTGAAGAAAATGCTGAAGGTGGCCTTCACGTGGACTTGGCACAGATTATTGAAGTTTGTGATGTGTGCCTGAAAGAGGATGACAAAGGTTTGCATCTTTTAAAAGTCTTGTTGGTTTGGCTGAACATATTGCCATCAGTGCTTTCAAACAGTAGCAGCTGGCAGTATGTTGCAGGGCTTGCATGTTAACACATGTGTCTTTATGAAACTGGAAGTGCTTATTTCCATCAGTGCCATGTAAAATTTGCATGTCCTCTACCCCTCCCTCCTCCAGACATCCAGTGCCCTTTGAAGAAGTCAGAAATCAAGCTAGAGTGTGCTTGTTATGAGGGCATGGTGAATTGTATGTAAAATAGGCTTTCTGGAAAAAAGGTATGATAAAAATAAGACTTACTGTAAATTAATGGCTACGATGCTGCAGATCAAGAAAAATTAAAGTAACAACAGAAATTGGGACTCGACATCTGTATGTGGGAGTTTTGAGGCCTAAAGATTAATTGATTATTATTGTCTGAAAACACAAGGATTTTCAGTAGTCAGTAACTCTTTGAGTTAGGGCTGTAGATCCTTACAAACTGCACTGGTATGTTTGATAATGCTGCAGTAGCCTTAATGATATTTCTGTGCCTGCTGTGCTCTGTACCAAGACACAGATTCCATTTAGAACTTTTCCATGTAAAAAAACAATTGCTAATATGAATAATACTTGTTGAAAGAATGCATGGTTCATTTAGGGAGTACTTAAGATTGTTTTTCATGTCACCTTTTACTGTAGGCAAATGAGAATGAAATACTGGAGAAGCTTATTGCTCTGCTGTTTGATATTCAGATATCATTTCAGGGAATAAATAATATTTTCCATATGCAGTTAATTTTGTTCTTTTATGTAGCTGATATTTGGGCAGACTGTGAAAAGAAAACACCAAACTTCTCTGCTCCTGTTTGGAACAGATGTAACACCGCGCTTAAAACTGGAGCTGGGGGGGCTTTTGAATATACTTTGTTCTTGTGGGTGTTTCCCCTCTGGTCTGTGTTTCCTCGTGCCCCTGGTGAAAGGTTTTACGGTGGTGGAGCACCAGGCGTTGGCATTCTCACCACAGAACTGTGGAGCAGTTTTCTGGATGTGCAGGAGGAAGCCACTGTATTTTTAAGACCAAAACCTGAAGTTCCTCTGACTTCTCTTGTGTATGAGCAGAGAATTCAGAGCAGGTATGATATCAAATACCAAATTCTGTTTTGACTTTAGAGTAGTAACTCTTGCTTGACCTGGAGACATGAGCCAAATCTCTGGTACATTCTGATGAATGTCCCAGTTGGTTATCTTGGCATTTTCTTTCTTTTACAGTTTCTGATTTTACAGAATCATCATCCGTAGCAGAAGTAACTCCCGAGCACTAAATAGCTCCTGATGATTGCTGCCTGCAGTTCTAAACAGCTGCATGTTTTGTTTTGTGCAGATGTTGAGAGCGTGATGAACAGTGTAGTCTCTCTGCTTCTTATCCTGGAACCTGACAAGCAGGAAGCACTGATTGAGAGCCTCTGTGAGAAGTTAGTAAAGTTTCGGGAAGGAGAGCGCCCATCGCTCAGACTGCAGCTGTGAGTATTGTACAGAGGAAAGTGACACAACGGCATCTTGCAGTTGTGTGTGTTTAAATCAAAGTGTGAGGTGTCTGTCAACATATGTCTCTCTCTTGCTGGAAGCACTTTTTTTACCTGCCTTTTCCCTGTCATAAAATAGAAGCACCAGTATACTTTCTTCGCTTGAGTATTACAGAATTAAAATGCACAGAGTTTTCAGCTTATCTGCTGAAGACTTCCAAAACTGGAAGCCATTACAATTCATCACAGATGTAAGGTGCCACCAGGTTCTTTGTATGTACCAACACACATCTTAATAGAAACACTTTTGTGCACTCCAGTAAACCTCTGTAACTCAGTTTTTCGTTGTTTGTGGTTTAGACTGAGCAATCTCTTCCATGGTATGGATAAGAACACTCCTGTGAGATACACAGTGTACTGCAGCCTTCTTAAAGTGGCCTCATCGTGTGGTGCCATCCAGTACATTCCAACTGAACTAGATCAGGTAATTAATGTGGTGCTTCAGGTTATCTGGTGCTTTGTATTAACCATGTTGCATCTCACTAAAAATTAGCCAGAGCTGATACAGAGCAAACCTGTTACAAATTGCCAGAGTCTACTGAAATCAGAAAAATGGAATACAGAATTTCTCATCTTTTAAAGGTCTGTCTACACAATCTAAATCTTTGCTGTATATTTTCTGTTTCTGATGCTGGGTGTAGTTAGATGTGTCTGTTTGATTCCCGTGATAGTAATGAGTGAGAAGCTTTGATTAGAAATGAGGCATCAAGTTCTTGTCCCTTGCTCTGGAATCACAGTGGTGCACTCATCCCTATTTAGGAAGTAACATGGAGAGCACAGATATTTGGCTTCTCACAGGAAAATATCCAAGGTTCTGCAGGGGGAGCATGAGAGTCAGAGGACCCAAAGGAGAAATATCTGTGCAAGATCTTATCAATCCTTTTCTGCTTGAGAGAAAATGAGACATCTTTTCAGGTTTATTTTAGTCATTTCCCCGATGCTTCTTTTTTCACTTGTATTCTACCTAGGTCCGAAAATGGATTTCTGACTGGAACCTCGGCACAGAGAAAAAGCACACTCTTCTGAGACTGCTGTATGATGTCCTAGTAGACTGCAAAAAAAGGTATAAAAGACAAGTAATAGATACTAGATAACTGTATTTTAAGTTGATGCATTGTAAGTGATCTGTAGGGAACGTAGTTTTAAAAGTGCTGTAAGAAATAATCTGTACTGATAACTCAGTCCAAATATACCTGGGTTTTTTCTTTTTATGTTTTTTAGTACTCTTATGTTAAACTGGTGTTTCCAAGAATATTAAAGTTAGTAGTGAATTAGCTGCAAACCACAGACCCTCGAAATAAAACTACCCCTTTCTGTAAATGTTAATCTTTGAGCATTGTAGCATTATGCCAAGTTTATTATTTAATTGCACTTTTGACATTTTAGTGCATGGTAGTGCTATCTCTTATTTAATGATGTTGGGAGGCTTATCAATCACAGTTAACAGAATCAGTCTTTTTATGTAAACATTACCTTTAGGACAGAGCTTTCCACTAGTCATGGAAATTAATGTCTGCAGAATACCTGTTTGGCCATTTTAAATTATTATCTTGGATCATAAGAAGCATCTTTGATCTAACAAACTTGGCAGACCACTGTCTTCTGGCATGTGAAGTAATCCTGTGTGTATCATGCCTGTAAATTAATGTAAGTCCTAACTGAGAGCTGTCATCAATTTATCTTACAGATGGGATAGGGTGTATTGACTGCACTGGCCAGGGCTATAGAGATGGGCTGGTATCCAGGAGTGGTTCAGCATGTTGTTCCACAGCAGTTTCAGCCTGTTTAAACTGTCTCTGCTGTAGTTTGAACGGGGGGTGTGTGTGTTGCTTCCCCCTGCCCTTCCCTTTCACTCTGTTTGCTGAATTAGTTTTCTAAGTTGTTTTGTTGGGGTTTTTTTTTTAATTTTCATAGTGAGGCAGCATGAGGAAGGACCCTGCACTGCTGACTTACAGTGGTAGCAGAACTGCACTTGCATTTTCTACATTTGCATAACCTTGTACTGCTGCAGAAGGAAGCAATTCTGTCCTGTACCCCCCATTCCTGTCCTGTCCCCTCCAGCTACCAGTACCAGGGTGTGTTTGTGCTGGTGTCGGCATTTGTGCAGCTGCACAGTGGATTGGACTGGGGAGGTGACCTTGCCAGGGGGGAAAAAAGAAAAAAAAGGAAGTGTGGAGCTGTCATGGGAGGAGGAGAGTTTCTTCTGGCAGGGGAGTTAGCTTATTCTGGCCTGGTGAGATTGTAGCCTGTTAAAGCTGCGTCAGCACAGCAGGATCATTTTTAACTAACCTCAATTTAGGGATGATTAATCCTCGTGGAGTTGTTACACTGTGAGCTACATTATTGGGAATTCCTGTTCCTCTGACTAACATTAAAATGTTCTTGCATTGGTAGCACTGTATGACAGATTTCAGACAGTCAAAATAGTTTCAGAAATGGTGATCAGAAATCTTGTGCATACCTTAGTGCTTTAGAAATAGAAATATTACACTGATACTCTGCAGTGCTCCTGCTATTTTACACTTCTCATCCTATTGATTTATTGAGATGTTTTAACTGTCTTAATTCCCATATTTAATAGCTAACTATTTTTAGCTAGTCTTGTTATCAAATCTGTGGATTAAACTTCTAATTTTTGTTTCCAGTGCCACCAGGAGCCTTGCTACCAAATGGTTGTTGGTTACTAATAATAGATGATATTTTTAAGTTAGGCATTAAAAACTTTGACAAACCCTGTAATACATTAGTCCTGCACTCAGTGTCCTCACCATCTGTTGCAGCAAGCTTTGCACTGAATGGAGCAATTTTTCAGAGCACTTACACTTCTCTCCAGAAAAGAAAACAAGAAGTGACCCTAGCACCTTTGACCTGGCTCACTCTCCTGGATCAGTGGGCAGTATTTGCAATAGTATGGGAAACTCTCAGGAGCATTCCAGCTTTAGCGCTCAGGAATGTTGCTCTATCTAGCAGTATGGGATGATAAGTGGGAACTGAAAAATAAGTAATAAAAATCATACCTCAGTTACCGTGTTGATTTATAATCAAGGGGAAAGGATAAATTGTTGAAAACAATTTATTTTGATTTTTTTTGTTTTATCACTCAGTATGGCAGGAGAGATGGTTTTCCATCCATAATAGACCTTTCCCCAATGGATAACTTGGTAGTGAACAGATTGGTAGCTCGTGAAAAGTAGATAGTGCAGCTGTTCTGTGTGGTGTTCCTTTTCCTGCAGTGATAACTGAAAGCTTGTTTTATCAAATCTTTTCCAGTCACTTTCTGGTTGAAGTTTCTTCTTTCTGGTGATCAAAATCATCTTGATCTCTTTGAAGAGGAATTTTTATCTTTCTCATGATCAACTGAAGAAAAATTGGTGGTGGTGGCTGGAAAACAGATGGCTGGTGTGGCTTTTTTCTGAGATCTGTATTTGGTAGCTGAACTTTACTGGAGATTAGTTACTTTCTCTGCTGCTCGTGCTCCTTGCTGTAAAGGTTCCGCAGCAGAGTTTTGTGCCTCAGCTACTTTCATCTTCAGCATTTTCCTAGCTGTGTTGGTATGAAACTGCAAGGTAACACAATGTGTTTTCTTTTCCAGTTATAGATGGAGTTTTACAGGTGTGCATGGCTTGCATGCAGCCAGAGAGTTGAGTTGTGCTGTGAGGCCCTGACTGTCATGCCAGGTGCCAGCCTGATCCAGTTTACAGCTGGTCTCTGCCGTAACCTTGGCAGGATTCAGAGTGGGATTAGTCCTGCCCGGGTTTTCATTCAAACAGATCTGGCAAGTCTGGTTATTAATACCTGTAGCAAAAAGCTCAGCATGTCAGGCACTTGTAAAATAATTGTTTAATTTAATTTTAATTCCATTTACTATCATGTAATGTAGAGGGACTTGATTCCAACATCTTACTAAGTCTCTGAATACTCTGTATTTTTTTCTTCCCTTTATCTACCATCACTCTTCAATTCTTGCTGGCTTTTTGTCAAGTTACACATCTAGACTGGCCTGCAGAGCCAAGAGTACTTGTACAAGCTGTCTTGCTAGAAAAAATGTTCAATTTGCATTTTAGGTGAGATACACATTTAGCAACGAGCTTTGGTAAAACAGTGATCTGTATTAATGCTTTAATAAAACGAAGAAGATTAAAAGCCTGCCATATTTGCTGAGGCTCACAGGAGTTTAGCATGGAAATTTGAGAGAAATTGTCTTGTGGAATTCTGATGTTTCCTAGAAATACAAGTGAAAGATTCCACTCTTCCTCCCTTCAAAAATAAAAAAAAAGGTGTATAGGTTATTGCAAATACTGTTTGAAATTAGTTAAGTTTGTAGTTTTCAATTTTTGCTCCTAAGGGAAGGGGGAGGAAAGGAAAAGTTCCAGAAATCTGTAACCTAGTTCTCAAGTGTGTAAGAACAGCTATTGAAAGTTTATTTTAAATAAGGGGACTTGTATTTTAGTTTGAATAGCACATCAGCCGAGCCTCTTGTTTGAATGTCTAAATAGTATCAGTCCTGTATTAAACTGGTTCTTTTTCTTCACTAGAACATCTAGATAAGATTTCAGCAGTGCAAAAATCATAGTCTGTCATAGACTGATTTATATGCAAACAGTTCTATCATATATAAAGCTGTCTGAATTCATTTTATTTCACTAATACAGAGCTATCAGTTCCTCTACACACCAGTGTCAGTTGCCATCACAAAACATAAGCTGACCTCTTTAATGCTGGAGTCTTAAAACAAATGTTTCCTTCAAGTTTACATCCCTGAACACAGTTCTGGAATAATGGCTGGGACCTATAGAAAATTCCCCTGCCATGAGCACAAACTCTCTTCACTCAACATATATCCAGATTATCCATGTTGCTTGGTTCCCATGATGTCTTAATATTTGTACTGCACATCTCTGAGAGCTGGTAAATTCTCTAGGAGCACTAAACCTCATCATATAAAGAAGTTCTCAAATAGTAATATTGTGAGATTTAAAATAACTAAAGATAGTGTCGTTGTACTATTAAAAACCATTCAGACCTGTGCTGCAATATGGGTTAAACCATATCTCAGCACAGTACGTACTGGGAGTGTCGTGTTGGTTTGTTCCTTCCCTGTGCAATTTATGCCATTAACTTAAGTAACTAAAGTGAATTGAAACTTTATTCTTGCACAGTTTTTTTCTTTTAAGGGAATTTTGTAGGTCTGTCAGACCACATGGGGAAATTTACTGTATCTGGAATTGAGCTACTTTGAAGGAGAAGCTTAGCTGTATGCTGTAACTCACTGTAGTCTGGAGGGGAGTGTCCAGCCTTCCTCCTGTCCACCTTTCAGTGAAGTAGTTGCCAGTCTGTGTACATGCAGGGGAGATTTCTGCAAAGCACGTGCTCTCGTTATCGAGGTTTGGTTGTATCTGTGCTCATACTGTATCCTGTCCAAAGGAAGTAGTAAGATGGCATCAGCAAAATCTGTTCTCTGTATGGAGTAACTATCACAGCCTTCTATTCTAATAGTTAACAAGAATTCCATGAGAAATAGGAAATGGATTTTTGTGTGTATACATGCAGCATATTGAAGGTGTATAGTTTTTGCTGAAAACTTTGTAAAAAGCATCAGCAGTTGTTGGCCTCATTAGTGGTAAGAACTGTTACGTGAAAATAAATCAAAATCTGTTAAAATGACACAGTGACAGTCTTGCAGCTGGTCTGCAGTAACATTGATGAGCTGTTTAAAAAATAATCTGAGTAGACAAGGCCCTAGGTTTACTTTTTTTTTTTAGAATGAATTGTTTTTCTGAAAGCTGTCTGTCAGAGCCATGTTGGAAGCTGCTTGCTTCACAGCAGCCTGAGCCAATCTAATTGCTGGCTGCTTAACTTAGTCAGTAAATGAGCAGCTCTGACTCCGAATACTTGAAGAGAGAATCTGTGAAAGAAGAAAAGGCAGCTTTTATACAGTCACTTTCCTGACCATAAATATTCTTTAAGATATGCCATTTTACATTTGAAATAAACTTCGCAGTGCTACTTATTCTGCAATGATTAAATCCAGATGTGCATAAGAGGAGCATTCTAGTGAACCATATAAAGCTGTTCCTAGCTCAGAAAGATTTTTCCATAACCAGCAGGTAATTTATCAATTTAAGAGAATGAAATGAAGGGTGAAGATAAACATTTTGTAAAACAAGAATTGAAAGAATACATCTAGTTAATTTGTTCTCTCCACTAGAATTAAAATGGATCATCTGCATCTTTTTCAAGTGTAATTTAATTTGACCTATAACATCATAAATTTAAATATTTGAGTGTCTTGTTTGAGCTATTTTTTCAGCAGTCCTGAGGTAACTTTATTTTTCTTCTATAGTGACACTGCAGCAAAAGTAATGGTGGAACTACTGGGAAGTTACACAGAGGACAATGCTTCCCAGGCTAGAGTTGATGCTCACAGGTAATACTGACTTCTGGTTTCCTCAGAAGTAGCTTTTTCTCAATTGCTAAATTACGTTGATTGCCTTACTGTTCAAAGTTTGGGATGGCCTGGCAGGCAAGGGCCCTGCTACAGCCTGTTTTCTGTAGCATGGCCAACTTGATCAAGAGTTCATCTGTGCAGCTTACGGTAGGTTTGGTTGTTCCTAGGCAGCTGTGCCAGTTCACAGGTGTATTTCTGGTCACTGCTGAGAGAGATAAGCTTTGGGTTTAAGGATGTCCTTTATATCAACTACATTGGAATTGGCATCCTTTATTTCAGATTTTTTTATTCTCTTAACTTCAAGTGTTCTTTTCAAATTGCACTTTGTGTTGAAAAGAAATTCTTGCTCTCTTTTCTCTGAGCAAGTACTAAGGATGTGAACTGCACAGAAGTTAACTTACTTGTTGGACAAGCTGGGAGTAAAATGATTCTTAACAGTGCATTTTCTCCACCAGCCAAAATGAGTAAAAGCTTATATTTTGACATTCTAGCTATCATGATTCTTCTTAGGAATTAGGTTTTTAATAAGTCATGTAATTCTGCCGGGTGTGTACAACCAACAATTCTCAAGGGAGTTGTTTATACTTCAGCATGCAGGAAAATCAGGATGACTCATTTTGAAAATTAAAGTGTCTGTCCATAAATGAAACTTCACTGAATGCCTTACAGCGATCTGAGGCCTTTTACATCTGAAAGAACACGTCTGCCCAGGGTTTATCATATTGCTGCGTCTACACAGACCTGAGGTTCTTCTGGGTGTAGGTTATGTGGCAGGGTCGCAGCCTAGCCCGTCAGAACGAGCGTAGCACTAAGTCTTCTAACGTGCCGCTGAACAAAAGCTTTCATCTAGAGTTCTAGAAACACTTTAGGTCTGTTTATAGTCTGGAGACGCAACTGATAAATCATAGGTCTTACAGTGTTTGGTATTGGGGTTTTCTCTGCTTTGTGTCACGTATTCAAGTGTAATTAATCTTCCTAAACAACTTAATTCTATGAAATCTTAGGAGGACAGTAAAAATACCTCTAGGAATGAAAGTTTGGCTTGAAATAAATGCATAGATGAAAACAGTAGGGTGATCTGTGGTCTTACCACCTGGCAAATTTCATTTGTGATACCAGGCAAATTACTTAATGCTTTCTGCTCCTTGTTTTTTCCATCTGTAAAATGAAGATTAAAATCAGAATGTGACATATCTTATATTTAAGAATGGTTGAAAACCCTTGGGTGTTTCCTAGAAAGCAAAGAACAACAAATTGAGTTGCACTTACTCATAAAAATGTCTATTGCTATAAAAATAAGCATTTTTCCTTTCTAAACAGATGTATTGTAAGAGCGTTGAAGGATCCCAATACCTTTCTCTTTGATCATCTTCTTGCCTTAAAACCAGTCAAATTTTTGGAAGGAGAACTTATTCATGATGTAAGTAACTTTGTATTAAGATGGCTTGCTATCTGTAGAGTGCCTTCTTTTATTAGAGTCTTTTGAAATTCATTAGAATAGCTATCTGTCAGTAATACTGAGCTGCAATGTACTATTTCTTTTAACACTTCTGGAATTAAAAAAATGAAATATTATATGAAATGTTTCCCTTTAGAAGTTTCCTGCCCTCACGTGAGTTCTGTAGCAAAACTGCCTTTCAAGTTTGAGAAAAGGCAGTAAGCTCAGCACAGATTGCCCTCACCTATTGATAGCAGACAGAATTTTACCTCTTAATGGTTTATTTTTCTGTTCAGTACCAATAGATTTTTATTTTTATATATATATATAATCTGTCCTGGGTAGGGAGGGAAACATAGATAATATTTAAACTGTTCTTATATTTGTTTTCCATCTTCTAGCTTTTGACAATTTTTGTAAGTGCTAAACTAGCATCCTATGTCAAGTTTTATCAGAACAACAAAGACTTCATTGACTCCCTTGGTAAGTTTTCAGATCATTAAATTTCTGACTATTTACATGGTGTAAGGTATGGAAGCCACAGATTACTTCAGTTTTAACCCATATACTGAAGCCAAGGAAATTTAATAGCATATTTAATAATGGATTGAGTTTGTAGACTCTAACCTCTACTAGATCATAAATGGACCAGGTACCTGTGGTTTGTTCTACTAGGACAAGCTGGTTTACAGGTTTGGAAGAGAACTGTGTTTTTCCCCACTTCTTTTCTCCTAAACCTTTTGGTTTGTGTTTTAATGCATTGATACTCTAGGCTAGGCCAGAGATCACAGCTTTCCTGAGTAAGCCAGCAGCTTGTGTGAATCTCTTACAGTTTTTTAATGACCAGTAACTTTATAACAGCAAATACTGCTCCTGAACAGTAAGATAAAACACGCAAATTGTGTGTGTGTGTGTGTGTCTGTCTGCATGTGCTGATGCATTAGACCTAGCAAGCCACAGTCTGTCCCAGTTAATTTGTTTCATCACATGAAGCAATGTGATGGAATGTTAATGTCAGCACCCTCTTTATTTACACACTGTGGAAAAAAGGAGTAGTAATTAACACTTTGACACTCCCCCGTTGATGTGTAATTGACTGTTTCAAAGGAGCACTGGTTCATAAGCTATTGCATGCATTAAAATTACGTTTTTTATATTCCAGCTTTTTAGGACAGGGGTCAGTGACAATGCAGAAATTGCTCAATGATGCTGATTTTTTTATTACTGCATTAAGGTTTTGACATATTGGTAATGAATAAATGTTTCCATAAAAATCAGATTATTTTTTTTTATAACTTTGATTTTGAAATGACACTTGAACACTGGTTGGATGCATTTGAGGAAAGACATAGTTTTACTAAAACAGTGTTTAGTGCAGCCTTTTAACACATGCATTATTTTGTTTAATGGAGTGTGGTATAATTCTGAGAATAATTATCCTCAAAGCTTTAAAATGCTGGTACTTTGGGTATTAAAACGATGGAAATATCAATGTGATTTTTTTGTGGATAGAATTAGCAGCAAGTTTTTGGTAGATTGTAAATGTGTATAGAGGATAAGCATACCTTTTGTCATATTTATTTGAACATTAGTTGTGTAGACTTCTTGTGCTTTTCTTCCTTAGGGGAAAGTGGTTTTTTGTATTGTAATTATTTTTATTTATTGAAATGGCTTATCTGTTAGCTATTTGTTCACAGAAGTATTTGCTGAAAATGCTGTCATGCTTGTATTTGAATAAATTTATGGAGGATTAATTACATGTATATGTAGTATCAATCGTATAATATATATAATAGTCATTATTTCCTTTGCTTTGCCTTCCTGTATCTGTGTTTACCTCTGTGAGCATACAGTGTGTGCATTTTTAATATATCTGGGATTCACATAATCTTAGTAAAATCCTTAAATACCTGTGCAACTGCTCTGAAAGACAGCCTTGCTTCAAGTTATCTTGATTTCTCACCTGCTTTATGGTGTACTCAAAACATTCAGAATGTCTTTGAGCAGTGGACAAGGTAGAGATTGTGAGGCAGGAACGCTAGGAACTTGGCCTGAGTGTGCCATGCCTTTGAAAAACAAGGGCAGCTAGGTATAGAAAACAATACAATTATTAGATGAGGCATTCAGAAATTCTTTGAAACACCTATGATCTGTTCCCAAAAACAAACAGATTTTTAAGCATACTTTAAGGATTTTTAAATAACTTGCCAAGATACTGGGTTTAAAATAATTGGATTTCAGCCACAGTACAGCATCAGTTTTTAGTTCAAACCTCTCCTGGATCAGGACCCACTAAAACTTGTCTGAGAGCTGTGCAGTGAAGGCTCCTACAGGTGGCATCAGTTTGTAACAATCTGTTGTTTTATTAATGCTGACAACTTAGGCCAGCAGTAGCATTATCTGTGTCAACTGAATCGCCCTAACATGTCCACATTTAATCTGGCATTATCAACGGTATTTTTCGGAAAGTTAATCAGCATCTCATTTGCATTTGTTAATTAGGGTTAATGTGTGCTAATTGATTTTTTGATGCTTGTAGAGTTCCATTAAACCCAGTTAGGTAGAGTTGCTAGTGCTCCTCATTCGTATGAATTATGGTGATCACATTTTTGTTGAATCAGTGCCAAATAGGGAACCTGCATCATAATTATAGCTAATTAACACAACATGATGTCCTGCACTAATGTGCTTTCCTATTAGTGTGTGGCTGTTATAAATTCCAAACCTAAATATTTACTGAAGCAATGTGCATGTTCATAATGTCATTCCAAAACAAAATGATTGACCTGCATTTTAAAGAAACTTACACCAAATCTTTGTTGGTACCTCACGGAACTCGGACTTCAGTAGTGCCTTGGTTCATCTGAATGTCTGAACTTTGTTGACCCAGACTTTTTTTCAGGAAAATGGTCTCTGATTTAGATGTGCAAGCCCTTGGCTCAATTCCTTGTGTTGCCATTCAAACAATAATGTAAAAGATCTAACCTGACTTTTAAATAGTTCTTGAAAAGCACCACTGTACCACACTAGATGTTGTAAGCATACATGAGACTCATAATGCTTTTTTGCTGTGGTAGAAGCAGTTAATTATGTGCCAAAACACATTCTTCTAGCACAAAAATGTTATGTTGCTAAACCTGTACCAAGAGACATTTGTTTTCAAGCAACTACATGAGAATGAGTGGTGAGGCTGTAAAAAGGTTTTGATGCTACCAGTCATGTATTTTCCATTTGTTGTTCATTGCTGTTCTTCCAGGTGATGCAAATGAAAAATTCACTTGCACTCTCACCACCTGAAATTTTAAGGTGATGTTTTTACTGTTCAAAAAATCTGTGCTTCATTTTTGTAGATATTTATTACCTTTTACTGATATGACTGAGTCTTGATGAATTCATAGCTAAACACGAGGAACATACAGGAATTAATGTTTTACCTCAAAAAATGTTGATAAGGACAGGAGAAATATTTTCTTGATGTGAAATAAATTTTAGATTATTGGAAGCATATATAGTAAAAATAACATGAAAAACAAATTATTGAATTATAATTCATATCTGTAAACTGTCAACACTTTTACACAGGCTTGTTGCACGAACACAATATGGCAAAAATGAGGCTACTTACTTTTATGGGAATGGCTGTAGAGAATAAAGAAATATCATTTGACACAATGCAACAGGAACTTCAGATTGGAGCCGATGATGTAGAAGCATTTGTTATTGATGGTAAGAACTGCAGTATCGTACTTTATGCAATGCTAATAGATGATACCTTTTATAGTTGTCTAAGCTAATGTTAAATATTAAAAAAAAATTGAAAATTCATTTTTAATTTCTGTGGTTGTTACAAGATATAGCTGCAAAACTTCATGTTTAAAGTGTTAGCTTTTAAACAGTGTTTGTCTTTTCAGGGACAGGTACTGTATTTAATGTAATTCTTTATAGAACTAATAAATTGTTTGCAGGTTTAATTTGTCATCTGGTTTTGTTTGCTGTCATTAAAACAGAATGGGTTTGGAGGGGAGAGAAGTTCATAAAAACTGTACAGGATACTGCCTTAGTAGATGGGCACTAAACAATAGGATTCATGCATGACCTTCATCTTGTTACATCATTTTGCTTTTCTGCCTACTAGACTGTTAAAACCAACAGCAAAACAATATTACGTGAATAGCTGTAGTTTTTATATTTGTATTGATCTAATTTTGAACAGTTTTAATGCAGTTTAATACTTTTGCATTATCCTGAAAATATTGCTCAAAACAGCATTGCGTTTTTGCAGCTGTAAAGACAAAGATGGTCTACTGCAAAATAGATCAGACACAGAGGAAAGTAGTTGTCAGGTAAGACTTAATTCTTCATAACGTTTTGCAGAACTTAGTGTGTTCTAATTATTTCACTTACATTTGTCGAATATTTTAACTGGGAGCAAGGTATTGTTCCTATCAGTTGCTGGTAGTTAAATAGTTGCTATTTATCATAATTTTATTAAGGCTCACACTGAATGTGATTAGCTTATTTAATGAAAGAGTCCTATTTTCCAGCACATTTCATTTAATGACCTAATAGTGACAAGAATACTAATGACTGTTGTTGCTTTAAATATTTGGGAAGGCTACAGAATTCTCTAACTGGCAAAGTACAGCCTTTTATATAGAGAAAATAAAAATTTTCCTATTCACTTGTGAGAGTAAAGTAATGCTATAAAAGAATTATTAGGTGAGCATGACATCTAGTAACCATCTTCCAATTTTGTTTTACTTCTCTAGTCACAGCACACATCGGACTTTTGGAAAGCAGCAATGGCAGCAATTGTATGACACTCTAAACACCTGGAAACAAAATTTGAATCAAGTGAAAAACAGTCTCCTCAGTCTCTCAGACACATAACTTTTTTTTTTTTTTAACCTAGTAACATCACTATAGATGAAATTTATTCAAAAATTTGACAATTTGTGAATGTTTCCAAAATGTATGCAATTGGTTTAAAGAAGCTAAATATTCTAAATTGCAACACACAAAAAGCAATAAAACTAACATGGGAAAACATCTTCTGTTGATTTTCTTACACAAACAGTAGTAATATTGGTTATGCTTCTTTTGTTCTTGTTTCAGTTTACAATATGAGGGTATTTATTTGCGAGAGGTGGGGGGAGGAAGGGAAGGAGATCAGAAAAATGATAGTGCCAGTAATGGTAAAGCGAGAGAAAAATCTCCCTTATACCCTAAGGGAGGAAAAATGTGAAGCAGTTAAAAGTGAAGCTTTATGACAGAAGATCTGCTTTAGTGTTGAAAGAGACCTTACTGATACAGAATCAACTATGACAGATATTTAAATAATTTGGCAGTAAAGGTAAGCAGATGTTCCTGTTCTTCTGACACTTAGAACTGTGGTAAGTTGTTGTAAACATTTGTAGAAACCATTGTATCTTGAAACAGTTGTGGCTGATTTTGCTTGAAAACTGAGTGAACAGTCTGACAGAGAAACCAAACTGAAGTATTTCAGCCAAAACATCTGAGGAGCAGGAGAAGGATACTCCTAAGTAATCGTTTAATTTTACTTAATGGATATTAAAACACTAACCTGTGAACTTTTCAACTTTGGGCAATAACTCGAATTTGATTGCAGAAACAGAAAACTAACATTAGTAGGGAATGTATTAATTTTTGAACATAAAAATTCTATACACTCTATCAAAAAAGAAAGCACAGAGCATATATACCATATTCTATAGGAATACCTCTACAAATCTGGTTTACATGAGTGATTTATCTGTGCCCAGAAGACATGCTTTTTACTTCCTGCCATTGATCTTCACTCGCCGCCTTCATATTTTCTTTTTCTTGCTGAATGAAGTCTCTCCAAATTCAGGAATTTCTCAATTTCTTCTATTTGGTTGTGTATAATGGCATTATGAGAAGAACAGCTGTCCTCGTCTCCGAGTGCACTTTCACTTCTTGCTGGAGTTACTGTCATGTGAGAAGGCTTCTGTTTGTGCTGTAAAGCAGTAAATCCTTCTTTCACCTGACAGAATACAAATCTAGCAGTTAAAAATCCAGTGAAATCTAGGTACAAACATTTTTTTATTTTGCTGACGATTAAGCCAGCAAGGAAATGTGAACAGAAAGGTAAGTCAGTTGTAAAAATGTTTAATTTGAAGTGCTTGCTTCAGCTTTAATTTAGAAAACTTGATAATGACAAAAATTCTTTTATAAACCAAACCTTAACATAAGACTTAGTATAGATGAGTATGATTGAAAAAGACAACCTTGTACTAGAATGCAGATTAGCAAAATAAGAGTTTTAATTAAACAGTTTAATGTTGCAGTTGACATTTCTATTGCTATGCAAGTATTTGATTAACAAAACCCAAAATCATGAGGATTTACAGTACTAACCCCTCTCTGCTGTATAGGTTAGAAAGCAAACATCATTACATAATGCAAGGCCTGTTATAGGTTGGGTTTTTGTGTCAAAGATATCTTTGTTCTTTGCATAGTTTTAATTACTACGTGAAAGATGCTTCTTTTCTATCCTGATGAAGCACATTTAGCAACAGAGTAGGGAAACAGGTTTTTTGCTTGAATGAGGAGCTCTGCACTCGTGATCCAACACTGTGTGGTGGTCAGGGAGGCCAGCGTGGTGCCCCAGCCACCTGCCTGAGCACAGGTGCTCACCAGAGCCAGTGTTGCAGGGGATCTGTAACGTGACATCTAACACCTTGGTTGCATGCTAGGGTAAGTCTCTTGCAGGGATCACAAGATGAGGCCTTCTCCACTTAGTTATTTTTATATTAGGTAACTGTGCCCCAACCAACTGTAAGCCACAGTCTTTATCAGGCCTGTGTTTATTTTAGCATATGAACTTTGTGCTCAAACTTTCCTTCCCCAGTACACAAGCATTTCTTGAAGTTTGAAATATGAACAGTAAACTTTATGCAAATTGTTCATTTAGCCCATTGAATCTGTAACAACATGAAGTCTTCTACCTGTGGAAGTGAAATTTTCCAGTGAAATAAAGCCATGCAGTGTTACTTGGATTTTACTAAGGACAACAAGCGTTCAGACATCTTTGGAGAAGTAGTTGCAGTTAAGTAATATATACAGCATTTTAATACAGTTAGAATAAAGCTTTAAAAAAGTCTCAGCTGTCTAAAAGGTCTCAGCATTTGCACGATAAAATACAAGTAAAATGTGTCTTACTGCTAGCACTGAGTAATATGGCAACCTACAGGACATGTAAAAACCATTGATTACTGAATAGTATGACTGTGGGACTTGTGTTTAAACCAAGCTGAGGATACTTACTCATCCTTACCTTAGTACTCCAGCATCTACAGACTAATATTTAAAACAGTTCTTCATATTTTTACTAGAATTTTGTACCTGTAACATTTCTTTTTAATTTTTATCACTTTTTAGAGTACCGTACTTTGGTTGAATGAGATTACCCAAATTGTAGAAGGCATAAATCTGCTCTAGTTATAATCATACATGTTAGTAAAAACAAGTAAACTGAGCAGCAAAAAAAGACTGCTGAGCCTATTTTTAATCTCCCAACAGCTTTTTCATGTCGGTCATAAAAATGACAACTTTGAGGACAGAAGGTATTAGAATGACACCAACACAGAAGGGAGGCAGTGGTCTGCAATATCCCAGGCTGAGATTTCATAGATTAAGTATTTGAAAAATAATCTAAGGTCAAACCAGCAAGGCACTCTGTTCTCGTCCATCTCAGTTTCTACTTAGCCAACACACAAGGAGCTTTAGTTTGGAGGTGACAAAGTAGATATAACCACAATCAGATAATGAAATACAGCTTGGTATTAGCTGTAGATTAGGTATTATAGTTCACTCAATTCCTGGCTCCACCTCAGTGAGAAAAAGCAAGAAAGAGACAGTAAATACCACCACTATGTTTGGTGAAAAATCCACTGTCATTCCCAAGTAGAGTCATGTTAGGAAAGTTAATTTAAAACATTAGTCTTACGAATTTCAGAGAATGTGAATGCTGGTGGCATTGAAAGCTGATTAAGTCCACTGAAGTCAGCCAATTTTGTCAGTTAAAAACACTATACACCCTGACCTCAAACTTCATTCAGAGAAGACAGCTATAACTACCTGAGAAAAACCTCTGGAACCTTTTCTAAAAAAGGAAGGTCAGCTGCAGTTGTAAATTATTGTATCACTTTTGAATAATATGTTTAGCATTAGATCAGATCCTAATACAGCAGTTACAGCTGTTCAAGCGCTACAGTCTAACATAGATCTAAATGAGCCATTGCTAGTGCCATCCTGAGTGAAGTTGTCTTCCAGGGAAACAACAAGTTTCTTTTTAATTCTCTGCATTTACACATTTGTGTAATGTCATCCTACTAAGTAAGATAAATCTAAATACAGCATGACATAACTGCAGCATAGAATAAACAGACAGGCTCGAATTCATACATATGCTGAATTATTACTCTTTCACAGATTCTTTTAAATAACATATTCCTATCATGTAATAAAGGAAACAATGTTTTTATACTTTTACATACTATTTTTTTTCCTTTCTCTTTCTTTTTAACTCCTACTTTTACTGTAGGTGATGATTTTTATTAGGGTACGCAATGAACTACCCTCTTCCTCCCCTCCCAAACAGACTGGTTAGCATCTGTTTGATTCATATGCTGTGACTTTTTCCTGCTGCTTTCTATCAACCTTAATTGTGAAAAATGGTGCCTTGTTGCCCTTTTGATATTATTTTGGAGATTGACTCAGTCTTAAAGTATCCAGATGCGTACAGTTGTACAAATATCTGTGGAATTAGCTCACTGAGGTCTGGTCCGCAATATTTTTAATTGACTTACATGTTCTGTGGGAAAAGAAGAATCATAAAACGTCTTTGCTATAGCATTCCATTCTTCACTAGGATCTCCCTGGGGGTCTCGGTGGATACTAGAGGTATTCAAAGTGTCGGCAGCTCTGTTAAAGCTAGTAGAACCTGATTGACAAAAAGGAAATGGTAACAACTGCAATTTAGTCTCTAGGCACTAATTGTAAAGTAACTAAACTTCTGGTTTACCTCTGATCTTAAAAAAATAAAATATTTTTGGTTTAAATCACTGGATCTCTCCTGTAGGCTTTTCCTTCTTCATTTTTTTTCTTTCACATACTTCTGCATCTATTTTGTCTCTAAAGATGAGGTATGTTTCTACTCTGATTAAAAATGTTTTATATCATTTTCACATATTAAGTTAATGAAAAATTAAATCTTGATTTATAGAAAATGTATGTATTCTGAATATTCTAACTGATTTTTTTCCCCAAACAGTATTACTGTTACAGTGTTACTAGACTCACCTTCTGATAATGGTAATAAAATATGCAATTACTGCCATCCTGACATCATATTCCAGGGTGACTTGTAATAAAAAAAGATATTCTAAATACAAAGGTTTTTAGACAGAGAACATTTTAAATAAGGAGTCTTTTTGTAAATGGGTATACCTAATATGTCAGGAAATCAGGCTATAATTATCTGCTAAAGGTAGGAAGCAACTAAGTACATTAATCATAGCAGAGTACAAGGCTCCAGTCCTGCAGTGGTTTTATGCACTGCTAGTAGACTCCACTGAAACCAATAAGAAGTTCCTTGCAAGACCAGATCATAAGCACGCTTCCACAGTCACTCGCAATGCAAACAGGGGCTGGTTTGTCACTACTCAGATGCCTGTCAGTCACTGCTACAATAGTAAAAATCTTTGTTTTGCTACGAAAATACATGTTACCTCATGGTTGTGTAGCAGTTAATTAAGAATACTGTCATTTTCCCTTGGGAGGAAGAGGAAAATGGTTATGAGTTTGTGTTTGTTTTCTTTTTTAAGAGTTCGCCAGGAAGATCTTGCCTGTTCCCAGTTCATTCCTCCATTTACAGATGTGGAGTGGCTGGTCTCTGGGAACCAGAGTTGTATGAATAGTAAATTGCATTGTGGTTAGGTAGTAAAAGAAATTCCCTCAGGTAAGCTTACTAAAGTCTTTTACCAGTGCTCTTCACCTCTAGG